TCTCAAACTCACAGAGATCCGCCTGCCTCTCTCTCACATGTGGGATTAAAGGTGTGTGCCACCACCGCCCAGCTAACTCTTGCTTTCTTAAACAGGGAGCTTTCCCTGTTTCCAGAACTAGCTGGTTATAAATAATCTAACCACTGCTGACCATAAAATTTCACCTAACTCTCATCCCCTTGGTACTTGGTTTGACAAGGTATACTTTGTGGTCAAATATGTTTCAGTCAGGTGATAAGATTCCAAGAGAGAAAGTGTAAGTGACCACTGGGATTCTCATACTTACAGGGTGTTGTGAAAAAAAGAAAAACAAAACACTAAATCACAGACTTGTGACCCCAGAACTTGGGCCACCAAGACAGGAGACCACAAGTTTCAGGCCAGTGCAGACTACACAGTGAGATCCCGTCTCAAAACAAAATGAAAGTAACAAACAACTGCGAACAGTATTAAGAGGAGCAAAGAGTTTTTTAAAGGAGTGCGAATTCTTTGGCGCAGCTGCTGCCGCCGAGGCGGCCATGTCACCCACGGGCAGCAGCGACCCCCTCTGAGGTTGTTCTGTCGGCCCCCAGGCTCAGCGACCCCCTCTGCGGTTGTACTGTCAGCTCCCAGGCTCACTCAGAAGCTAGCACTTGCGTGTTTCTGTTGTGTTTTTAGGAAGGTGATCCATTATTTGAGCAATGGTTTACAGTCTTTCGGCCCAGCATTACCACTGTTGGAGCTTGCCAGTTAGAATCCACACAATGTGGTGCTATTGTGTTCCCCAAAATATTGTGCATCCTAATAAACTTATCTGGGGTCAGAGAACAGAACAGGCACTAGACAGACATAGAGGCCAGAAAATGGTGGCACACACGCCTTTAATCTTAGCATTCCAGAGGCAGAGATGCGCCTGGATCTCTGTGAGTTCAAAGCCACACTGGAAACAGCCAGGCATGGTAACAAGAGCCTTTAATCCCAGGAAGTGATGGCAGGAAGCAGAAAGGTATTTAAGGCATGAGGATGAGAAACTAGAGCCTGGCTAAGCTTTTAGGCTTTTGAGCAGCACAGTTCAGTTGAGAGGCATCCAGTCTGAGGAAACAGGATCTGCTGAGGAATTGGCGAGGTGAGACTGTGGCTTGTTCGGCTTCTCTGATCTTCCAGTGTTGACCCAGTACCTGGCTCCAGGTTTGTTTTTATTAATAAGAACTTTTAAGATTCATGCTACAACACAATGTATAGAATACATAGGACGCAGCCTTCTGGGACTTCTTTTGATTAGGTCTTTATCATGTTTCATTGTTTCATGATATTTATAAAAACTTTAAGATGAATAAAGTAGTTAAGACAACTTCCAGCCTCGGAGCTATGCAGGACTTGCTGTAAAGGGACATCTGGAACGCCCCATGACCTGCTTGCTGTCAACACTACCATGGTGGTGGCCACCTAGGCTCTGGCTGGAGTTAGGCTCTGCAGCAAGAACTTAATTAACTAAGACGATCCACAGTTCCCATCTGTAACTTCCCCTTGTCCACCCCAGGTCTCCTTCAGTTGTCTATGGAACATGTATAACCCCTCTAAGAAAACAGACTCTAAATATTTGAAGCTGAAACAGTATCATCCTAAGAATCGTGAACTATAGAGATGCTCAGGATGGACATTTTGATTTCAGGGCTTTTCAAGGAAATCTATCTGAAGTAAGTTTAACCTCCTGTTCTAATGATGAAGCTCAGCTGTGGATGCCACTGCCACCCCAGGGTCCAGGAAGCAAGGCAGAGAACTCATACAGACCAGTGTTATTGAGGTACTGAGCAAAGATAGTACAGAAAAACCATCATTTTCAGAGATGGAAAATAATATTTGACAATTACACAGTGTAAAATAGAGGGGCTTTGAGAT